CTTTTCTTCAGTGTTAGAATATGCTACACTACTAAAGAAGTAGCTCAAACTGGAAACATTTTCAGGTTTCTATGCGGTAGACAATCCAGTTATATTAAACTGTAAATATTAATATTTCATAGGCATTGGCTACATTTATGAACTGCTTTTTTTATTGGCGTATGTCTTTCGTAAGAAGAAAGTTGCTTAAATTGTGCTGTATTGATTTATGATTTGAAGAGCTTTGTTGTCTGTTACTTAACGATATTTCTTTAGAAGTTACAGCTTGTTATTTAACAAAATAAAAAAAGTAGTAAAGTGTAACTACAGTTTGTCTTAGGATATTGTTAATATGAGGTGTGGGCATGACTTTGAGTGTTTTGATCCAACATAGTAAGCCTAGGATAACTGGAAGGTCTAGAAAAAATGTTTAATACATAATTGTCCTCTTTGCCATGGTGTGAAATAATTTTGAGTTGGCTTCAGTTGAGACTTTTGAGTGTTTTTAGGAAGAAAAAAAAGAAAGGATGAGGTGGGGGGGAAAAAGGATTTTACTTTGAACTAAAAATCTACATCTGGCTAGAAAAGGCTGTGTATTTTTTTTTAAACATTCCTTTCCTTCACTTTAAGTCATATTTTTATAATCAATTAGTGATTTGAACTTCATAAAAACATTGGTGTGAACTGCAGTATAAAAAGATGAGTTTTAAAAGGCTAAAAGTCTCTTTTCAGAAATGAGAATATTTTAATGGCAACTTACATGAAGTGTCAATTGCCTTTGATGTACTTGTACACTATCTATTGACAAACTTCATAGGTGAACCAAGACTTAAAATAACCTGCTTTGTGGGTTGGATTAAATACAATTGTGAAAAGAGTTCTGCAGACTTTTATTGGCACAACTGTGGGGACAGTGAGGAGATGAATATGTGTGTGGCTAAAAATGGCCTCTGAAGTGCAATTGCTGATGAAGAAATCATACATGGCACTACTGACAGAGCTGCTTCTCCCTCTGATGAAATATTGTTCAGCTTGGTAGTGATCAGGGTCTAACTCTGCCGCCTTTCAGTGGAATTTTACTTACTCTGAAAGCCAGAATGGGGGTTCAATACGAGTCTAGTTTTAAGCTGCTCCATGAATGTGCCAGTATGCTTAGAGCTTTGGTACTCCTTCCTTCCTATGCAGTTTCTTTTCTTGTGAAAAGAATTTGGAGGGGGAACCTTCCAGGGAGCCCCTGACTCAGCTGTCATACTGGAATTCAAACTTGAATATTTTTGTTGAGCTTACAAAATTGACAAACTTAAAAATGAGTGTTCAAGAAAATATGGATATTCTTTATGCTAGTTTAAGTGGTAAAACCAGTACTTCAAAACAGCAGGTTGCAACTGTAGTGAGAAGGCATCTGATAGTTAAAACTTTGTTTTCCTGACACTTTATTCACAAACAGCATCAACATTTTGTAGTTCTTGCATTTAATCTGACTGACATTGTATTTGTTCCGATTACTTTATAAATGGTACTTGGTCACACACTGGATATTTGAGTGGAAATTGATGGTAATTCATATGTTGCAGATCTAATGGACTGCTGGTTTTTGCTTTTTTTCCCCTGTTGATTTGCCTTCTGTTTTTTTAAAACCTCTGTCTTACACTTGCATTTTTTTTCTTCTTTTCAAGTGTCAATTTACAGTATCTGGTTTTACGACAAGAATGACTGTCATCGAATAGCAAAGCTCATGACTAAGTAAGTACAGTGGTGTTATTTTTCTGATTCTTTTATACAATACAGAAAAAAATAGAACTTATTAAACGTGTTTGTTTTTTTCCTCACTATCCTTAAATTGAAAAATACAACATTCTTCCTGGTACCAATTTTTTTTAGTAATCAAAGTGTTGTGGGTGTGGGTTGTTTTTTTGGTTTGGTTTAAAAAAAAACACCCTACAGCATTACAGCTTAGAGTTGAGTGGTAAAAGTTTTTCCCCCTCTTTAGATATAAGATTGGTTTATAAAGCTGCCATGTCACTTGCTCTTTTTATTTGTGGTTCCCAGAGCTCCTAGAGGTGTCATGCAGCAGGAGAATTTCTGAAGTGATGTCAATTTAAAGAAACCTTGAGACTGTGTTTGCAATAACATGGTTTTATTAGTTTAAGCTGCTGTCACTGTAGGAACGTGCTTAGTGTGTCTGTGCTGTAGATGGTTGCGCTGCCACAGCTGAAGAGGGCTTCAGACTGGAGCACAGAAGTCTGAGTGAACAGCAGAAGTCAAAGAAGGTTGGAACTGGTTGACCTGGCAGTGTGGCATAAAGTCTTTAAAATGTATTGTGATTGCAGGGTATTCTTGCACCTTCCTGTTCCTTCAGGTGAAGTGCCTTGCAGACTTAGACAAGACTTTTTACTAATAGAAAAGGATGAGAATTAACTTAAGCAAATCTTCAATGTCTTTAAGAAAGGAAGGAACTTGAATTGTGTGACAGGGTAATTACACTATAAAAATGCAAAATTGCAAAATGCAAATGTACTGTACAGGATATCTACTCAATCACTTGTTTTCTGCTTTGCTTTTCTTCACTGTCACACTCTGTTACCTGAACTTTCTTTTCTATTGCCTGCCTTAATCACTGTGTCATGTCTTGCAAGTCAGGGCATCTTAAAGACTGGCAAAATTAATGATGTGGAAGCTAGTCATAGTGTAGATATTTTAAGGTGAAGTCTAATTTCTTGGTCTGGGATTTTTGCTTTAGGTTATTTTGGCTTTTCCTCACACAATGATATAAGACCACACAAATAATAGACTTTGGTGTCAAGATCTCTCTCTAAATTGTTGGTTTTTTTTTTTCTTTTTTCCCCTCATCCTGCTAGTCCTATAGAGTTCCCATTTCCTACTTGGGTTTTTCTTCCCAGCTGTGTTTCTTCTTGCTGTTATTTGGCTTGTCCAAATAAAATAATCAATTATAAGGTTTAATGGAAAACAATTGTGTGAAACTGACTGTCAGAAATTGTTACCAAAACATATAACAAAATGCCTGTTGCCTCTCCCCTTTATAAACAGAGAATCAGAAAGGCATGGCTTTCTTTTTTTTTTAATACACCTTTTAATTTAAAACCGTGATTAATGTTTGAAGTAGGAGAGCGAGCTGAACCCTTCCAACTCTGCCATGTTCTTACTGTGTCATACACAGCTACACTGTAGATCTAAGTGTCAAACTTGAGTTCATTTGGTATTAAACTAGTCTAGTCACTGTAGCACAAATCATGGGCTACAGATAATTCAAGAATCTTTAAAGGTGTAGTCAGGTAACAGACCAGTCTAGCCATGGCACAACAGTCCATAAAGCACGTCTACCTTTTTTGCTGGATTCTGGAAGTAATTGTTAAACCAGCAGGTTCATTTAAAGTCAGTCTGGGAATAATCTAAGCTTTATTGTCATCTGCTTTGTAAATTACTGTAGCCTTCCTTTTCTCGGGTCCCTGCAGCTTTATTAAAACAGAGGCAAAAGTGACAAAATTGGCATAATTGCTTCACCCGTTTATGCTGTAGATACTCGTGCACTCTTGTGATTGTAGCATCTCAGCACCCTAGAAAGTTCGAGATTACAAATTATTTTGAAAGGTCAAAAAGCTGAAATGTATTTTTTAAATGTTGGAATTTTTTGTGATAGGTGTTGGGATTGTGGACTTTTAAAAGTATCAGTGAAACTGAAATTAGAGTTAATGCATCAAGCAGACTTTGGGGAACGTGTATCAGCTTTGTCACTTCAAACGTACAGAAGTGAATTTAGATAAATCAAATGTGTACATGAAGAGATTTATTGATTGGATATTGACAGAATACAGACAGTTAAATTTTGCTGAGCTGGCTAGGACCTCACTTCAGTATGATTTTTAGTCTTGGCTGCCATTAACTTGGTCAAAAAAGGTATAAGTGATCTTTGCTAGCCTAAGTGCTGATAGTAACAGGTCTTTCATTATCTGAGTGCATTTTTCATAAAGTCTTTCTTTATTATTATATTATGGAATGTCTGAATACTTCTAGTTCTTTTTTTCCTTTAAAATAGTGTATTGGTTTGAGGGTAACAAAAATGTTGGCAGAAGCCATTTCTATACTGAGAAAGATATTTAGTGTAAGTATATTTACTTCTATTTGTTGAAAAAGCACTGCAGAATGAAATCACATTTTATTTAGTATCGCATGCTTATAGCTTCTGAGTATCTAAAGATTCCTATTAAGGAAAATGAAATGGCAGCGTTCTAGCTGCACTTTACAGATGGAAAAGCTGCACTTCTGAGGCTGTTACAAACTTGATGAAAAGTGGATTGATACTATTTTGCTGACATCTGTTTCCACAAACATCAAGCTTCCTCTACCCCAAAATAAGTAGAAGGCAGTGAGAAGAAAGGTAAAAATGCTGATACTTCTCTGGGCTTTTCTATACAAAGGAGGCTGAAACTGCAGGAATTATTTCATCCTAGGATGAAAGATGTATTTAAGGAAATTTAAAAAAATAAAAATTGAATCTCAAGAGAAGGAAAGCTGCTTTTCAGCCCATGGTAGCAGATTCCCTCGGGCTTAGTTCAGTATATTTTGAAATAAATATTTACATTGTCTTCCAAGAGTATTAATTTTATTTCACTTTTTTTTTTGTCTTGGATGAAAATTTGGATTTGCATGCTTTTGTTTAGGTGGGTGGTTTTTTTATCACTGATAGGAATGAGTACTGCCTTTATAGTACCTCAGAGCTTCAAAAACATAACCATAAAAGGTTTCAAGGAGATTTGCATTCTCTTTCCTGCTGTTTGATTTGACCTTATTGTGCCAGACTGAGTTAACAAGATTGCAGGCCATCCATTTATATTTTGGTGGCTTATCTTTCAAAAGAAAAGTAAATTAGTGTTTGTAGGCTTTGTGATCGCAGACTTCACTTCTCACATTCTCTCTCTCCCGCCTCCTGCGGCCCCCCCATTCTGTGAGGTTGTCCCAGGTATATTTTCAATGCTATAACTGCAGATGTTCTTAAACTGTCACAGCAGCTACTGTGTCCCTGAAGGAATGTGTGCCTCTTCCACTGTCTGATATAATGGAAAGAAAAAGCAGGCCTTGCTTAAAGATTTAATTCTGGACTGCATATGGAGCATGCTCAGTATACAGATTTGCATTAGTTGACTTTTTTCCCCAGCAAAGGTATTTGATTTACAGAACTATTTTGTTTTTTAAAAAGAATTCTAGAATTTTCCAAAACGAGAAAAAATTATGGGAGTCATCAAACTGCTAACTTAAGAACGAACTAATTTAGGTCAAGTCAAGATGATTGTTTATGAGGGATGAGCTTTCTAGAAGTAGGACAGAAACTAGGGTTTTTCAAATCTTTATGTAGTTATTGCATTCAGACATGTAAATTTGTAGGGTTTTTTAATTTTAGGTTAGTTTATAGGCTTGTTTTACCCTTTTACAACAGTGAGACACAAAATCACTTCTGAGATACAAGCAGCAAGCTAGGAATGAGAGAATGCCTTGGAGAGTTTTGAGGGTATACTGTTTCACATTTACCCCATCACCACCATCTAAGTGTAACCACCACAAGAGATAAGATGAAGAGCTATTAGACAATTATCTATATTAAAAGGTAATTTGTTATTCTTTAAAGTTTTTACTTTTTTTTTTTTAAAGGTAACAAACATTTCATAATGGACAATAGAAAAATATTACAAACTGTTTTTCAGAAATCTTTGTGAACATTTCTGTGAAATGGATGTAGTCCTTGAAGATGTTTTGCTATGAGACCAACTAATACTGTTTTAATGGGAAGATGTTTTGTTGTCACCTTCTAGACCAGTTAGTTAGGAGTAGAAGAAGGGTCTCAAGACTGAAGACTTTGCTTCACCTATCAGGCAGCATGTACATGACTTCAGGTGTCCAGAATTTTCCATTTAATTGAAGTATTTGTTTTTTCTAATAAAATTATGCTGATTCTTACAATCTCAGCAAGATATTCTGGTTCTTTTACCTTACCCTTTCTCATCCCTAGTCTGAGAGTTGAGTTTAGACAGGTCCTAAGTCAGGACTGTATGACCACGTGGGATGCTAGAACAAAATGTTCTCTCAGGGTGTCACCATAGAAACATATGTACAGTATTGAGCTGCTCCATCCAAACGAGTGCATGCTGCAGTTCTTAGAAATTGTCAGACACAAGGTAGATCGGCCTCCCTATTCTGAGTTACGTTTGCAGATAAACACCTACAGAGAAAGCTGTACTAATAATGAGAAGCTGCTTAAATAAGCAGCTTGGATGATTAAAAATTTTCAGTGTCGTTTTGAAAGCAATATTGAATTGTTAAAAGCCAAATCTAACCCTTCTTCAAATAAACACAGGTAAACTGTAGTGAAGAGGCTTGGTTGCTAGAAAACTGGGAAGAAACTTCCGAGACTTGAACTATTTTTTTTTTTTTCTCAGAAATGGCAGAATAGAGGTGCATATAGATTTTATAGACTGTAATTAGATATTTAGAGTTTGTCCTGAATCCTAACTGACCCAAAGAAACTGGAGGCTGGAATGATTGACGCTTCCTGTGATTGTTATGATGGCACCTCTTGGCTCCCCCATCAGCCATCCGTTCCACAGCATGAGAGTTCTCAAGTGATGTGCCGGCTCCAGAGCTCTGCCCTGTTTACAGTGCTTGTTTTTTCTTAACATATTTGATTAATGCAGGCTTAAAAAAGAAGGGATTACAGGCTGGTGTGTGTTTATTTCAAGAGCATAAGCTTTCGCGCATTGCACAGCCGTGTATATCTTGTGAACCGAGTATGGATTAGGAGTAGAAGTAGATGCTGCCTTTACTTTTATTAATGAAACATACCAGGTACACATCATCATCTTGCGTATCCTCACTGTCTCTGAAACTGGTGAAGGGTTTTGATACTTGAGGCAGGAAGGGGTGGAGTAGAAGTGGTGAATGAACCACAGGCACCAAAGGCCAGAGGAAGAGGTGTTGTAGATCTGCAGGCAATTGGAGTGACTACAGGCCAGCTAGAGAAGAAAATGGTTTGCACTTCTTTCCAAAGCCTTTAGTGGGGAGTAAGGGGTAACTTTCTCTAAGCCACCTTGCAGACTGAGTCCAGAGACATGTGGTGCGAGCCAGCTCTCTTCTTTCCCAGTGCCTTTGTTTTGTTGTATAATGGTAGGCCTCATCGTAATTTAGAACTGTTTTGTAATTGATATCATTGAATAGCAGGGCTTGATTTGGCTAAATATGGAAAAAATACATGTTCGCAAGTGAAGAGTAAAAAATGTGTTTTTCTATCTATGGTGTAATACATGTGCTCTTTGTATATCACATGTTTGAATGTCCACATATTTTATTGTAGAAATGTCTAAATATGACAGAAGTAGTGTTTACTGTAGGCAAACTTTGTGAGAGACAGACCATTTGACAGTTTGACTTGTATAAGCCTTGTAGCAAATGAAAACTTGTGTAACTTTGAGCTACGTGTTAGGGTTTTATTCAGGCAGAACAAAATGTGTTAATATGCTGGGAGTACACTTTACTGCTTTTTGCAAGATGTTAACTCCAGATAAAATTCTAAAATCCTGTTTCTCCTTTCCTGTTGCAGAGTAGTAGAACAAGAAGCTCTGAGATCGCAGCAAGTTTCCCAGGACAGAAAAAGTCCCAGCAGAACCAATGGCTGCAATGAAAACAGGCCCATTGACATCCTGGAAATGCTTAGTAAAGCCAAGGATGAATATGAACGAGTAAGGAAATGTCTGGGTTTTTTTAATGAACACATGAAAACACTACTTCTATTTCTGAATAAGGGGCGTAAGATATCATACGGAGTCCACTGAAATAGCATGTCCTGTGATTTCTGAGAGAGAGATGATAGAGAATAATAATTCTAATATACTAAATTGCCCTGTGCAATACACTCTAACCCAAGACCGCAAAGTAGCGCACCTAATCCGTAATTTAATGGACCTGTATATTCTTATGTTTGAATTGCTACCTTCTAGGGGTTGGAAATACAATTTTAAGAACAGGTACCTGGAGATGCAGACATAACAAAATATTTTTCTAAAATAGGTGCCTGGGCTGCTTAATCTCAGTACTCATCTGCTGTCTTATTTTCTGAGATTGTTGTCAAAGGAAATGTGAACAAATAGGCATATATGTAACACTGTAGAAGAATGTACCACTGAACATGTGTGGTTGTGATCTTGAAGTTCCATTATTGTAAATATTCCTTCTAGTGGCTGACACTTGGTTTTTCAGTTTTTTCCTCTGTACTTAAAGTCAGTGGAGGAGATCAGCTATGATTCATCTTGTAATCAAGAGCACATTGAGCTGCACAATAAAATGCTTTGACGTGTTGAATGATATAACAGAAGCCCAGAAACTTTGTGAACTATCCCATGTGTGTGCCCAGATGTACAATGACTTGGAGAGAAGGGGTAATATGGGGAAAAGTCATATTTTAAAACTGTGTGGGATTTGCATGAATTTGTAAGTTTTATTTCTGTAATTATCACCTTAGTGGGCAACTCTTTGCCTACTTTTTCATTATTTTTAATTTTTAAGAAAGCCTATTTACAAACTAGTTTTTAACACATGGGCTGTGTTTTGTTTAAAGAACAGGCATTCTGTACCATTGTTTCAGTAGCCTTGTTTTCAGACTGATGTCTTGTTCACTCTCTCAAGTACACTATACTAGGGAACAGTTTCTGATTTCAGGCAAGACAGGTTGTATTCTGATTGTGTGATCCAGCTTTAGATGTATCTTGATAGATGCATTTTACAACAATTTCTACTGCTGTGAGTAAACTTTCTCTGGGAGTAGCAAATAAAAATTGTACCCAACAGTGTCTGTCTCTTCTTAGTCTCAAAAGAAGTCTTCTGGTATTAGATATTAGCAGTTCAATCATTCAGTACATTTGTAGGCTCTACGAAGCATATTTTTTATAGCTGTAGTATAACTGTTCCCCTACCGTTCTGGTCCCTGGTTTACTACTACTGTCCTGTCTAGTGTGTGTCTATCCTTTTAATAAATTAATTGATTTCAGAAGGGTGAGTCTGCTATCTTTTAATGAAGGAGAGTATTAGTTCTCTTAGGAAAGAATTACTTTATATAGTCCTGAGGAGCAAATTCATACATGCAGGACGAATATAAGGGTAATATGTGGGAACTCCAAAAAAGGAAACAAAGATTCTGAACATGCCTCTCCCCAAGTATAGTACAAGTAAAGTAATGTACGAGTATAACATTGCAGAGCTGTGGTATGGTTTTGGTTGCTGTACTGGTAGTGGGAGAAGAGTTAGCATATTAGTAGAGTGCTTGATTCCTTCCAGAAGTTGCTTGTCTAACAGGTCACAGCAGAGTTCCTTTGAGTACTTGGGATTTGTGTCTTTGTAGGGTTCTAGAATGTTACAGTACCATGTGGAATGAGGAGAGAAGAATGAACATGTGGATTAAGGCTTGTATGAGCCAACGTGTCACTTTCTGACATAGATTGAGGGCAGGTGAATGTGACAAACCATACAATATATTTGACCTAGGCTAGATACTAGTTTCTGAAAAACAGTAATGTGTTTTTTGAATGCTTTAAATACAGTCTGAAAAAAAAAAGCTTCTGATTCTCTGAGCATCCATGCTGTTTGGGGAGAAGTTGTCTTTGTATGAAGGCCACCATTGTGGAATTGGCAGCTTTTGTGAGAGCACAGAAGGAAGCATCAAAACCTGAATGACTCATCTTTCATTGTTGTTTTGAGAGAGATTTGAAGAAATTGAAGGTTTTGGGGGGAGGAAAAAAAAAAACCACAACAAAACAGGAAAAGAAAATACACACCACAAGAATTCACTGTTTGCTAGTGCCCTCCTAGGGTGTGATGAGGCCTTTCTTCGTCTTTGCCCTTGCAGTGTTGGATAAAACACATTTCCAACAGATGGCTCTTAAAAATTACTCAGAATGTATATTCCAGCTTCTCTCCTAATTTTCAGATCTTTTTCATGTAAGAGTACTGAAAAGCTTTTGCTAGAAACAAAGTTCCTAAGCTTCATAGATGAAGCCCTGTAGACAAGTAAAATACTGATAATGCAAATTTAGTGGTGGACAGTCGATGTCTGTGATGTCTGTAATACAACAGGGAAATACACAGGGCATGGACTACAATGGAGCTACTATATAAGTGGAATTTTTGTGTCTTGACTACTTGTGTTTGTTTTTCTTGACAGTTTTAGAATGCTAGTGAAACTAGAATAGTTATTTAATTTCCTTTTTGTGTATGTGAAATGTAAACTAAATCTGTTGAATATAATCCCATAGCCTGCTATGATTGTAGTCATGTAGAAGTTGCCAGATAAACAGAACTGAGCAATGTTGGTCATGTTTCAAGCAACCTTCTTTGGAGAATGTTCTGTTGGCCACCTCAGCTTTAGCAACAAACCTCTGCCTCATTAATTTTGGAACTCCTTGTAGCCAATGTTAACAGGATTAGGTGACCAACTTGTTTTGAAGATGGCTTTTTGAGACACCTTTCCTGTCTTAATTTTTTAAAATATTATTTTATGGCACTCAGTAATTATGCATGAATTTGTATTTAGGAGCAGAAAGTACTTATCTGCCTGGTACATTCCAGATGGATCATGCAGTAATCCTTGTGTGCAGCCCACATGAAATTGGCACAGTGTCAGCATGAGAAGGGGGCAGAGAGAGTGAAAAAGAGATTTATGAAGGTCTGAGTGATTTAATCTAGGATCCCAAATCAGCTTAATCCTTCAGGTACTCACTACATCAAGTCCATATGTGAAAATGAATGAATTCTGAGTTGTTGTTTTGGTTTTTTTTAATGAAGTGAATGGATGCTTTTTATAGTGTGGTGGTTTGTGTGTGTGTTTCAGTATGAGCATGGAAACATACTGCAGATTATCCTCTAGTGAAAAAAAACTATGCTTTGTCTGATTTTTTGTAACCACAAGGCATCCAGCATTTCAGGCAGAAAGAGTCTTGACTCTCAAATTGTTTTTTAACTTGTTGCTAAAAACTTTAACCCATATTTTGCTGCTGTGGGTAAGTGACCAGAGCATTCATCATGTATGGTGCTAATATGCAGTTACAGCATATGCATAAGGTGTACTTTACCTATTGAAAGCCAGACTGTTCTGCAGTTCGGTTTTTTTCACTGGTGATTTAAACTGTAATACAGTTTTTTTGTTTCTGTATATATTTATTAAAGACAAAAGTCAACTCAATCTGTAAACACCCTGTCTGTTCTAATGTAACTCTCTTGTCTGTTTTCTGCCTTGTTCACAGAAAACCAAATGAATGCCTTCTGAAAATACATGGATGTGGTTAATTAAATCTGGTGGAAATAAGTCAGTGACAAGCTCTCTTGCCAGCTACTTAGAATGATTTCTGACAGGATTTTTTTTTCTAAGTTATTTCTAGTTTGGGTCCTTGATTTAATGAAGTATAGAAACCTTCTTCATTAGCAACTAATGCAGATAAAGGATGTGAAAAACCTGCCTTTTTAAATTTTTAATTTATTTTCATTCTCAGTGAAAAAGTGTGAAGCCAGTTGTCATATTTAAAACAAAAATAGAGTAAAAGCTTTGAGTACATACCAGATGGTGGGTGTCTTGGTATGATTTTTATTTCCTAAAATTTGTAAATTCCACAGTGTCTTACAAAAACCTATACATTGTCTACATTTCAGTCAGTGCCATGTAAACAGGATTGTAGTAGTGGATAAATGTAGAGTTAAAACTCATGTTTTTGTGTTCTTTCTTTTTTTTTCAGAATCAGATCAATGATTTAAGTATTAAATCAACTTCTGGAGTGCAACAAAATGCAAATCCTCCAAAGCCAGAAAGCACAGAACCTTCAGAACAAAAAACTTCACTGCAAGTACAAGAGCAAGTATGTTTCATCCCAGCCTAAATAAGGGTTGGGTTTTGTTTTGTTTTGTTTGTTTTTTTGGGTTTTTTTCCATTTAGTACTTTGTTTTGGTACCAAAATATTTTCTTCTGATAAGATGGACATTAACTCAAGCCCTATTTTCTCATGTTTGAGACACTTAAGGTTTACCTGTGCTGCCTTTAAAGCTATAGCTTTAATCCTGTTAAGTCAACAGTGAATTGCTAGACAAGAAATGGAAAGTGCTTCAGTCATGGCAGCACCAAATTCTCTTTAGCACAACTGAAAATGCATTTACCTATCTTCTCCCGCACTTCCATAGCTTGCATTGAACCTCTGCTTGTTATGACTGGTAATGACATGAGTCAGCTTGGCTTGTTCCTTCACACTTAGATTGTGGGGAAAAGCATACGTGGTTTTGTGTTGGTTTGCTTCAGGGTTTTTATTAGTTTGCTGGGGACAGGGGGGAGCTGTTGTTTGGAGGGGTTTTTTCTGTGTTGAGAAATTTTTGACAGTATATTCCTTCCTCTGCAGGAAGGGAAAGTATTGTGGAAAATATCTGTGTTGTTGGGGAGGGATGTTGCTCAAATTGTGGTAGTACTAGTGTTGAGATATATTTTAGTCAAGTGTTAGATACAACATGTTAAATCAAATTGAGATATCTACAAATTCTAAAGCTTGGTGTTACTCCAATAATTAAAGTTTAAGCCACAGTAAAAATGCTGGTGACAATAACCTCTGCTTCATGTAAATGTTGTCTTTGAACCTTGGGAAGCTTGTTACAAAATACTTGGTACCATCACTGGAGTGACTGGAAATAGGTAGCAGGAGTTCAGTATTTGGCTCCATCTCCTAGTGAGCATTTCTGCACAAGGAAGCTGTAGCTTCATACAAGACTTTATAGAGATAAATTACTAAATTCCCTGTATCATCCAAGTAACTTGGGCCTGCTTACAGTGCCACCCAGTGGGCATGGAAAGATCCATAGTGATTTTTCCTCAGAAAATACCCACAGAGGTAAACTGCAGGGCATGCCTCCCGTCCTTGCCGTAGTTTACTATTGTGTTTCTGATGCAATAAACCACGTCTAAAAAATGAAATGCCCTATGAAAATATGTGCAACCTTGCACTTAGTAGTTGTAAACAAAATACTTTGTAGTAGATGTAAATAATTTCCAGTACAGGTTAAAAAAAGAATCTTTTTTAAGGGATTGGGGTAGTACCAGTTAATGAATTAACATGAGGGGTGGGGAGTTTGCTGGGATTATTGCCTGTCACAGCCTCCTCTCCCCCCTCAGCAGCACAGCACAAGTGACAGAGTGGCCCCTGGCAGCCAGCTCTGCTTGCTGCGTGCCTGGTCTTCAGCCCTGGCAGCAGGGTTGCCTGAGGCTTTGTATTAAAAGAAGATATTTTCTTTTGGGTCCCTTCATGTAGACTGTACCCAATCAGCTGAAGTGCCCCACCTGACAGTGCATGGAATTCCAGAACAGAAATCAAATAACTAGTAAAGGAAAAATTAGAAAGATAAGATTCAAACAAATTTCTCTGAAGTAATTAAAGGGAAACAGTGGATTCATAGAACAAGTGAAATAGCTTATTTTTAATTGTGTTGAGCTATTTAAAATAATAGCTGCAGAGATACTGAAAAAAATAATTGTGTAATATCAGTGATAGTTAAATAGCTTTGCTGAATTACTGGGTTCCAGTATATCACAAATGTATTTGTTCTTGTCTACATTATTAAAAACATTAACTGGAAGACTACTGGAAAAACATTTCAACTCTAAAAATACATTTTTCATCTAATTGAAGCAGGTGACCAGTAAAATAAAAAAATAGTGTAAATATGATAAGTACGGTGAAATTCCTAAACCCCTTCCAAAATGTCACACTTGTATGTTGATTGACTAACTTCATGCTAAAGATATCACAGATCTGGGAATAAAAATAAATGTCTCCTCTGTGATATTCTGAAGTTCAAGGTTTATTTGGCTTGGCAATTCAAAATGAAAATCAGTTGTATCATGAAATGCTTTTGTGCCAGCGATCAGCAAAACTGAACCAGAACATTCAAACTTTATAGTGCCAACTCTGACTAATTCATGTTTCAATACATCTGAAATTATCTCTGGAGAAACCCTCTAAGCCAGCACTCTGCTCTTATCAGGTAAAGTGATTGTGTTGCCTTTTTGCAGCTTCTGCTGACAAGGGTCTTCATAACACACTGAGTTGATGATATGCTCAAAATATACCTCAGTCAAAAATGGGACAGGCAAAAGATGTGTTTTATACTTCAGGCTGGACATAATTTCATGTTTGAGACTGTGTCCACATAAGGCGCTAGTTTGACTTGGATCAGCACATGGTAGAGATTTCTGTTTATTACTTGAATATTGTCTTAATAAAAGTGTATTAATAAAAAGCTAGTGAATTTATCATACTGAAATGAAAAGGTGAGTTTGAAATGAGGTAGAATAGTGATTTTTCTCTTAACAGAATCTTTACAGTTGAAGGACAGGTCTCCAGAACAGTAGATCAGTTGAGAAAATTAAGAACAACTTTCTAGGAAGAATTCCTAACATAATTTAACAAGGTTTATAAACTATAGAATGTCTCATCCGCAAAATTAAAGCGTGCCTGACATTAAGCTAGCTAAAAATTAATTACAACAACAGCAGTAGAGATTAGTAACCTGGGCAGAACTCAATATGATTTCAAGCTCAAGGGGGTTTTTTTAGGCTACTTGCATGGTACCTGTACTACCACACCTTCACTGCTGTTATCTGTGCTATTAAATTAGAGCTAGCATAGCAATGTCATGGTACAGTAGTTGTCATTGTAAAACAGCATCTTTGTTTAGACATACCATCAGAATACAGTGGAGTTGTGCTGCAGGCCATTCAGTCTTCTGAACAGAATGCTGTATCTCAGTCCAGCTGTTTTACATAACTTCTGGTCCTGTGCAACCTAAAAACAAAAAAAAAAAGGAAAATATTGAGATTGTTTTAATAGCTGTTTCTTTTCTTTTTAGTGAAACACATTTTAAAACACTTCCAGCAAAAATATTAAGAACATGATGCCCTTAAAATCAAATTTTTCTAACATCAGCGCTGTAGGCTAGATGTATATTTTCGGGAGAGACTAAAGGACTGGTAGATGTAACTGTGTGTATATATACACAGTTTTCAAGGAGATGTACATACATATGTTTAGGTTTATACAGATTCTTTTGCATGTTGTAGCATCTACTGCATTGGTAATGAAAACGGTGAGAAGAACTGTCTAGGCATCTATTGCTAAATTGATAATGTACCTTCAGGTTTCTCTATTCCTTTCCCATCTTTTTAGATTTAATTATTAACACCGCTATAAATTCTGTATGTAGTTTGTTCAACGTGTCTGTTCCACACCCCCACGCCTTCCTCCGACATGCCTTGTGTAGTTAGGACTGGATGCGTTCCTGTGTGAGCTGATCTAGGTGTTCCTGCTCCGGCAGGGGGATTGGACTAGATGATCTTTCGAGGTCCCTTCCAATCTCTAGCATTCTGTGATTCTGGATGGCAGGTGTCATCTTAATGACAGAACCCATGGCATTCCCCTTTCTTTACTGCTAGCACACAGTTTGTCCATAGAATGCTGTAGAGAAAAAACTTATATAGACAGGATGCTCCTTGTAAATGAAATGTATTTCAAAATTCCTGTAAATAGGGCACACTTGATACCCAGACTCTTTTAAATGCATTTGACCTAGTTGTCCTTTATAGTGTTCTTGAAAATGTAATAGACTGTGTGAGATGCACAGCGGTATGTGTATTTCTAAACTAAAAACCTCCTTTTCCCTTCTTTCTAGCCATTTCAGTCAAGGCAGAAGCATCTGACTTTGGAGGAACTGTTTGGAACCTCTGTACCAAAGGAACAGCCCGCAGCTCCATATCCCAATCCTGAGAGAGTGGAAAAGTTGCAGACTGACACCTCTGCCAGAGAGCAGCACAGTTTGCTCTTGCCTTTTTCCTTTGACCAGTCAACAGTAATACAACAATCGCTAGGGAAATCTGAAAGTCCAAGTGTTAAAACCAGTGCCAATCCTTTGAATCAACAGGAATGTTTAACACCTGTGTTAATACCTCCAACTTCCCAGCCTGATGTAAAAAATATTTCAAGCTATTCAGTTTGTTTAAGCCCTGTTCTTAATTCAGCCTTGACAACAGAAGCTGCCCCTGCTCAGATGCTTCCTGGCCTAAAACAAAACAACAGTATAATGCAAGTTATGCAGCAGGCTGCCAAGCAGATATCCCCACTAGTGAATCAGCCACCATCTGAAGTGAACCATGCTCCACAAAATCTAATGGCTGGCCAGAGCCAGCTTATAGCACCCTTGACATCAGCAAATACAGGAACTGTCTCAAATACATCCCATACAAGTGTTGATCTTCTCCAGAAGCTCAGGTTGACCCCACAGCATGACCAAATGCAACAGCAGTCTCTCGCTAAGACTTCCTTAACACCGAACATCTCTGCCTCGGTTGGCCAACTTGCAACACCAGAAAGCTTCAAAGAGTCTCACAGTAAGCCATCAGCCTTGAACAGCAAGATCATCTCTCCCCTTCAGGTATTCTGGGTTTGTTGGGTTTTTTTATATATCCATGAAGCTTTAGAGTGTTCTTAGACTAAATGCATTTTCCCTTGGAAAATGTGCTGTTATGTATTAGCATTTTAAAAATAATTAACTTCCACTGTGTGATATTGATTGAATTGCTAACTTAAATCCATTAGTTTCATGTCATTAGCATTTTCTATCAGTGACAAACCTGTTTGTAGAGGAGGATTGTTTTCAAGCTGGTGCTGTTAGGGAATGAGTAAGTCCTAAAGAATTCATCTGTACTTGTGTCAGAAAAATGCTGCTAAGAACTGATGGTCTGAGAAGGGACAGAAGGTTACAGACTGATTGGTGTTAGGAGAGTTGATGCTGTGGCAGTCCAGCCTGTACCTTCTTTGAAGGTACAAAATTAACAATTTCCTGTTTCTGGTTATTTTGCTTTAGACGTTTTGTATTCCCTCAATTTTGACCCCTTTCTGCTGGGGATACCTCTGGGCTACATTGAGATATTACTAGTTATTTAGTAAAATGGATAGTAAACTGATTTATTTTGTCTAATTGACTGCCTTGGTTTGTTTTATCCTAATATCGCTTACAAAGGACCTCTTAAACTTTTTGTTTCTTGGAGGAGAATCAATTGTCTATGCCTTGATATAGGTCAAAGCAGTAAATTTATTTTGAGAGACTAGGTGAAAATGTCACTGGTAGTCTGTAAGGTTAATGCATGTGGCTTTGTGTTATAAATTATTTTTCTATCAATTAGTGTTGCTCTGCTGTATAATTGGCTACCTCAGTAGTAAAGACATTAATGAGTTTGGGTTATTGAATTTCTTTTTTCTCCAAAGGGAGGAATTTTCTGTAGTGCCCACTTCTGACATTATCCAAATACTTCTGTTTGTCTTGTTGCATTATTGTTTTATTTTATTTACATTCATGCAGATTAAGTGTTTGAGACGCATCTCCGATACAGCAATAATGCAAGAATAAAAAACACCAAATAAAACTACTAACAGCTACGTCAGCCTGAATTTCCTAATGTTTATTATTATCCAGTGCTTGCCACGGGGTTTTAACAAGATCTTTGGTAGCCCTATCTGGGTCAGTTGATGCTCTTTCCTGTAAATATGGTGATGAGTTACTCATAACAGAGATCTAATCAAAAGCTCAACTTTTCAGCCTGTAACTTGTCCTAAGTGTTATTTCAGAATGCCCTGTATTTTTCAAGTGTTGCTTTTTTTGTCCTCAGAAGCATTATCCCTGTCTTAACGTGTAAGAAATGGGCATGTTTTCATTGTGCTGTCTTTCTAATTACCTTATTTCTAATCTGCTGCTGTTCTTGAAAATTTTCAAGAAGGCTGTGACTGCTGTTTGCTAGGATTATTTTACTAGCAATCACCTTTTTGAGATGTTTGGACTGATTTGTTTTGTAGAGGGAGGAGGAGGTCCAAGTACAGCATAGAACAGCTGTCTTGATCTAATATTGAAGAGCTGCACATTCTGAGCAATATTTTTCTTTTATGTACTACTGAGCCTTCGTACAGTTTTGACTGAAGATTGAGACATCTTTGAGCATGTGGAAAAGCTGTCTGGGTTTATCCATACCTGCCCTTGACTGCAGTTATTCAACGTCTGCTTGATAGCCTTGGGAATTAGTTCTTCATTTGCCAGTCTTAAACCCCTTTTTTCCTTCCACCATGTCCGCTGTGTGTAGACAAAATTCTCCATAGTCCCGATATACTCTCAAACTAGCAAAAGACTTGACTCTCATGTAATTACACTTTAAGAACTCATCCTGTGCTTGTTACCACTTCATAAAGCTAATTTTTGTTTAAGGACTATCAATTCCCTGAATGTTTTTCATTGCAATTCAAGTAAGCAAAGTACTGTCTGTTGCAAAGGTTTTTTTCCTGTTCTGTGTTGCTGAGAGGTATTCCAAATGGCTATAACAAGACTTTCAAAGAATCTCACAGGAATTTACTAAAGTACCTTATCTACATGCATTTTATTGTGTTTTCTAATATCTTATAATACTTTAATTTTATTATGTTATAGTCTTGAAATCTGACCAAAGAAATATCTGAATGCTGTTTATAAAGATATACTTCTGAAATTTTAGCAGAAAACAGCATTTAATTTTTGTGGAGGTGATTAGATAAAATTCCTAGGAAAAAATACTGAATTTAACCTTCCTGGCAATTTACCAAACTGATTACAAGGTAATGAACTCTTGACTTTGTAGGATTTGTTTTGTTCCCAGTTTTTTAATGTTTAGATTTTTTTTTTAAACTATAGTAGTCTTTCTTCAGAAGTGTTCTGTTATGATAGCTTTATAGGTTTGCTGTACTATTGAAAGCATAAAACCTAAATCCAAATCTTTCTTCTTTCCAACTTCCCATTGATTATATCAGTTTACAGAATTGATCAAATTACATCTAAAAATCTGTTGAAGTTTGCATTTTTGTGCTTTCATAAAAACAGAACCACCACTGGAAACTGAGATGTGAATGCTAACTTGTGAATTATGCTCTCTTTTTAATTTAGACTGTACAACAAAACAAGGAATCAGAAGTATTTTCACAGACAAAGACTTTGTCTAAAGCAAGTCAAGTAAGTGAATAAATACTTCTAATAGTTGTTGTTTTTAAGAAAAAAATGGGGGGTGTGTAAAACAGTAGTAAGCAGTTGGTATCTCAGGTAGTCGTTGCCCGCTGACTGTATTTAAAGTGCTGCTATGAAGCAAGGGAGAGTTCCTGTAGGCTGCTATGAATAAGTACACTTTGTTGTACAGTGTGTCTTATTGGTGCTAATGCAGAAATGAGAACACATTTTTGGATTTGCAATTTTGCATTGAGTTTGCACCACTTGAACTGGTTTTTCTATTTTGTAAGCAAGCAGTACTGATGCTAAAATATTGCAGTAGGGTCTATTAGCCTTTAGCCCAACCTTAAGCACCCCAGCGGCATAAAATGCAATCCTTGCCTTGCTGTCTCTTTCAGTTTTCCTGAGATACCTTGTATTTTTTTCAAAAAAATACCAGTAAAAAAATGGAAGATAGAGGAAGAAAATAACAAAAAGCATCTGTTAGTGCAAAACTTTCTAATAACAAGTTTTAGTGATCTAAATACAGATTTAACATTACTAGAACTGCCTTTGAATAACAGTTCAAAATGTCAATATAAAGTTTCAGGTTGCAGTTCAAAAAATAACTGATAATAGTCAAGTCTTCAAGAATTGTTTTTAATTACCTTTTTGTTATATATTCTTTTCAGGATACCATCCATAATCTAATTCTACTTTTCCTTTGTCCAACCCCTTCTTTTTCAAATCTGTTAAATTGCTTCATTCTTGTCCAACTTGTACTACATAAAAGCAGTTTTAGTAGCATGCCCATAACTGATTGTGAAGGCAGTAAAAATGGTTCTGCTTAAAGTAAAATGCTGCTTTAGCTACTGGCCTGCTATAAGGCAAGCTATGCCGTCTGTTCATGACACAGTAAATAATTATCTAAATAAAGGCATTTTACATGGATTTTGGAATTTTAAGAAACGTGTGCATGTTGTATGGTAAACTGGATCTGTTGGTTTAAACATGTTGTCTGCGGCTGAAATCCCACGCTGTAAGTCTTCACAGTTTTAACAATAACAAAATCAATTTGCTAGTTCTGTTGTTTATGTTATTTGATACGTATTAACTTCAGATGGCTTGGCAGTTTTTTTTCCTTAAGATTTTTGAATATCCAAGGGGAGCTCTTTCTGCTGATGTATCTAACATCTTTACATATCACACTTAGTCTTGCTTTATTTTGAGTGAGATTGGCTTGTTTATTTTCTTTCTCTTTTTTTACCATGTTGGTCATTCTGCAAGCCTGAGGAAGATGTAGATTATCATACTGAATAATAATTGCAGTTACTAGGAGATGTCAGATGTGCTCAAAGCTGATGTTTATGCACATCCACTTTATGCAAATATAATATTCCTGTACATTTGCAATTCATGTTTAAAAGGAAAAGTGATAAAGGCATTGTGTGAATTTCTGTAATGAAATGGACAGAGACCTGTGGAAGAATGAGGTGGGAAGATAGTCCTCAAAATATTCCTGTCTCCCCTCCCCACAAAGGAAAATGTACTTCGAATGAGAATATTTCTGTGTACTCCAATGCTTTAATTATAGTTCATCAGTCATTTTAAATGTCTGTACTTCAAATTGTATTTGTTGGAGACCATAGAAGCAGGGGCGTGGGAAGCAGGGCTAGCCTTTCTGTAAACTCCTAAGGAAAATTATAATCTGCAAAACAACTACAGGCTCCTTTGATTACCTAGGTGGAAAGCTCATCTTTTATTCTATGTGTTATGTTTCAAAAATTCTGGAAGGTAGCAACCACATGAGTAAGAAGGAGTCTGCATGCAAGAATATTGAAGCCTGTAACCTTCTTCAGCTTTTAAAAGGAGAATTACTATTGATACTAATCTTCATAGGTAGATATTTCTTTATTAACCGCAGCTATTCTGTAATATCTGACTGGATAATATACTTGTACTACAATTTTTTTTTAATGCTTATCTCTCCAGCCTTTATAACAGAGTTCATTCTTACTGGACACAGTGCTTACCAATTTTCTGTTCTTTTACAGGTTGCACCTCCACAGTTTGTTACAGCCACAACTACAGTAACACCTTCAATCCTCTTATCTCCTAGTGTTTTTCAGCAATCGGCTACAAAAGCTACTGAAGTGGAGAATAAAGCCAGTTCTTCTTCACCTTTAACACTTGGAACAACAGAAATTCAGACTATACCTCCTACTGTTCTCAGTAGGTCTCAGCTTCAAGAAGCACTGATACATCTAATAAAGGTCCTGTCTTTACAGAGCTCAATTCCTGAGGGATGGGGTTCCAAGTACAGTAGCCAGTACTGAGAAATTCTGTACCCCTATAACTCCTTTTGCCCTGAAACGTTACAAAAGTTGTTCCCTTGTGCTGGAAGATTACTCCTCTCTGTACATGTAGCATGGCACAGCTTACTCCTTTTGGTTGTGAGATGGAGGACTTAGAAGGACAGAGCTGTACATTGCCTATGTCCTTTCACATCCATATGAACTTGTAGACAAGTGAGGAAAAAGTTGCACTAGTAGAAGCCCTGGTATGGGGATGGGAGGGCTTGGTTTTGTTGTCTTTGTAAGTGTTCCTGCTCTCCCAAGGAAAGCTTTCCTCTTTCCAGTTTCCTAGAACTGTTCTGATCTTGAACTGAAGTATGTGTCTTTGAAATTTCTAGGGCCTAAAAAGTTCAGTTGAATTAAATATGTGATGTTGGGAATAGCCATGCGTTGAGAAAATTTTGACCTCCAATGTCATGGTGAAGTTGCCATGAATGACAAACCATTATTTGTTAACCCAGGATTCTCTTGCCCTTCCATGTTGATGTTAGTAGAGCTTACACCCAAAATGCAAGTCTTAAAAAGAACAAACAATATCTTCCCAGCAGTCAAGTTGCTAGGACCAAAAAGGGCTACTACCAGATCCCTTCATTAGCTAGGTTGCCTGATTATCTGTTGTTCCTTTTTGCATAAACCTTTTTGACATAAGAATTCGTGTAAAGCACACTGCAATCCATTTCAGGCTGGCCTCATGCAGACTTTATTTGGGAGCCTGTTAGACAGGATGGAATTCTCTGTGTCTAAGGCTAAGGTTTGGGCTGCGGAGGACAGTGAAATTATGTGCCCAAGGCTGACGTAGTGACCCCTGTTTTGTTTGTTGGTTTGAGCATCCAGCATGCTTAGTGATCTCTTCAGTTGTCTTACCAGCTTCATGGTTCAAAGTCTGCATGTTGTCCAAAAAGCATTGCCTTTTGTACAAGTACGCAGCTAGTTCCCTTTTCTTAACTCAGATAGCTAGCACTATAAGGAATCCTTATGCACAACTTAAATGGCATTAAATTAAACATTTTTTGCATCTTTTTACTAATGTTTCTAATGTGTTTTTTTTTTCCCTGCAGAATGATTCCAGTTTTCTCAGCACTATTCATGAAGTCTACTTGCAAGTCCTAACCAAGAATACAGACAACAATAAGCTATAATTGAAGCTAAATCTGCTTAAAATATATCCATTTCAGAAACAATTATGCCTCATCTATAAAACTTAATATTTTTGTAAAAGAATATTTAGTTTTCAACGTCCTGAATTTGAACCTGTTAGGAAAGACTATTCTTTAAATACTTATGAAAGTATCTCAGAAGTGATCTAGGTTTTCACTGTGATCATCACCAGCAAACCTTTGTTTTTATTTGGAAGGGGACTTAAGTTGCATTTGAGCTCTCATTAGCATTAAGTGAATGTGCAACTGTTTGCTCTGGCTTTCATTCCTAGCTGTATTCACTGTTCAAGAATTACAGACTCAGTACTACTTAAACCAGCAAATACATAGTACAGGACACTATACCACACCCAAACAAAATTCAGTTGGGGGAACCTAGTTCCCATTTGAAGGACTAAGGAAAAGGAGAGCAAAATGCCTTGTGATTAAATTGGCAGGTGTGGGGAAGGAACAGATCTGGAAGCCAGGCCTTTGGAGCTAAATCTTTAACAAAAGGTTTAAAAATGCAATTTGCGCAATACATTGACCATCTCTCACTAATGCACATAAATTAATCTTTTAAATATTCCATTAATCTTATTTGTTTCTGCATCACTGACATTAAACAAGTATCCAAGTGAGTAAGGCCATTTGCTCTAAAAAGGCAAAATTTGAAATATGCAAAATCCTCAGTGATTGTATCTTTTGGGTTTTTTTTAAGCAACAGAGTAGTTCTGTTGCGTGTTGAAGTTCTCTTGTTTTAAATTTATAGTTAGGAGACCACCACTGGAAGACCCTCTTCCTGTCCATCAGTGTTTCATATAATTTAAGTACTTTTTGCCTTTTAACTTAAGGATGGACCATGTCATGGTTGTTTTTCATTCCTCAGTTGCATTAGTACTGCAGTGTTGAAAACTGTGCAGATGGGGAACAAATGCATGCTTTTCTGTTGCGCTCTACCCACATTGTTAGTGCACACTCATAGTCTGAAGTTTATCTTTGAAAAGTTACTGCTTCTTATATGTGATTTAGTAATTCACTAATGTAGGAATTTAACTGAATAATTTCCCATTTGAAATCAGAAAATTTCTAATTATAGTTTCTTATGCTGCTTTATTGGTTTACCCACAGTTTGTATTTATTTCTTAAAGGCATGCAAAGGTAATTAGTAAGTCTTCAAGTCCCAACTTTTTCTAGCAATAGTAGTTTTAAAGGATGTTTTTCCAGTAGAAAAGTTCTGGTTTACTGAGTAAAAAGATAATCTGTAGTGAGTTATGATGCACAGCTGGTTTCTTTTCCCTCAAGCACTATTGAAATATGAAAAAAAAATAAATTTGGCTCCTTACAACTCATATGTATGTATATGTATCATAAGGAGTAGTTAATGTTGACATAGTCGAGGTGCATGGCCATTTCATTGGAAACTAGTCGTTGAGCTTTAATTGTGTCTTGTTCACAAATTGGTATGTTTTAGATAGATAGAACAGATATTTAGATTTTTATGTATTTGATCAATTTTAGGTTTTTTTCATAGCTTTTTAGTGGAAAATGTCTTTTCTTTAGCACTACCTGCCTTCTGAAAAGCTCTTCTTAGCCTTTGAGTTCAGTGTTTCCGGTTAAAATATATAGTATTTTGTTAGAAAAATGTGCAAGATTCAGGGAAAGATGCTAATGTCATGCACATTCATCAAGAAATAAATTGGCTTTAATGGTAGCATTTGGATTCAGCAATATAAGCTCAGCCTTATTAAGGGAAGATAGGAGCTTCCTACATAAATTCTAGAGTAATAAAACTGTGTATGTGCATAAACAGCGAGACTTGGATCTAAAGTCTAAACTAATTTGTTCTGTTGAGTTTTTTAGAAAAACTTTTACTAAAGGGGACAAACGAATTAGCAGTTCCTCTGAACAAAAATGGATAGCCTAAACCAAATAGAGTTGCTTTTTATCTGGATTTAGTAAAGATGAAGTCCGTAACTTCTCACTTCTTATGGACAGCTTCTGATTTCTTCAAAAAAAGATTTGATAAATGTTTCTAAGAATAGACCTACTGGAAGCTGATAGTGCATATTTGTACTGTTTGCTAAATACAGTCATATCCAAAGATCTATAGAAATAATAGGAAGAAGTTGTGTTTTGAGTTCTTCAGTCATACACAGTTGACAAAAGTACTACTGTTTAGAGTAGCAATGCTGTTACAAGAGTTTGACTTTGAGTATCTTTAACTTGTTTCCAGCTGTCCAGGGACTCCCATAAGCAGTTGGCAGATCTTTACTTTGTTTTTGTAGTGTCTTAGTAGCAACATTATTGATTTACTTCTCCCCACCCAACCTTCAAAATTAATTGGAAGAGAAACAGAGTTGAAATCATAGTTACTAGGCAGGCATATTTTACAGCAAGCAAACCTGTTTGTCCTGAACACCTGCACGTTTGTTCTGACCTCTCTACAGACACTGGAACCAGCCTAGGTGTCATCCAATACACCGCAGAGTAACAGTCTGTGATTTATGACAAGTGCCAGGGTAGTGAGTTTAACAGGTAAACCTGTTAAATGAAAACTTGCATTGTAAAACACAAGCTCAACTACAGTGTAAAATTTGAATTTATTTTTTTAAATGTGGTTTGTGTTATTTAACAATTTTTTTTTTGTGGATTATTTTAACTTTTTGTATAAACATAAAATTACCAGCTTGTCAAAGTGCTTGATTACTGTTAGCCACATGTAGGGATACCTAGTGTGTAGCAAGTTACCATGGGTCATCACAGGAAATTTATTGTGACCATTTTCAAGTGATTTTTTTTTTTTTAACTACTGGCTTAATGGGATTTTACCTATTTGTACCAAGAATTAAAAGATTATTAGTTTAGACTACACTCTCCAAATTAATTGTACTGTCTAAGCATGTGTTTTGTGGCTAGTGTTGTCACTTTAAAAAAAAAAAAGGCAAAATAAAACAAAACCAAACCTCAAACCTAATCAAAGACGGTTTTAAAACCTATAGCTGCTGAATAGTTCAGGAAAATAAAAATTCTCAGTTTTCTAGTTAGACTTTATCAGCTGTTATTTAATAATGCAAAGTTTATATGAAAGGTGCCTAACAGCTATTAACTTAGAAGCAGTATATCTTTCCAAATTAAACAAGATTTGCAGAATGATTGAATAAAGTTAAAAAAAAATTAAGTGATTCATCTTGGTTTTGTATAAAAGGTTTAATTCTGTGTATAAATACTCAATATAATATTTAAACACTGATGATTGTAGCTCATTTTTGCTTGCATTTCTAATTGCTTCATTTTGGTACACTTCTGAAACCCATTATACGGTGTGTAGTCACTGATTTAATTTCTGAAATATTTTTGAAAAAAAAACTTTTAATTTGGGACTTCTTGTTTTTAAAAGTATTCTAAATAAATCAGCCACCTTTTTGCCAGGTATTTGGGTTGCTTTGTACAGCATATCTTAACAGGAGGAATGTGTGCAATATATATCACCTCAATTTTGTCCGGCAACATTACAAAAATGTTAAGATGCAATATCTTCCTTTCACTTCAAGTTGGAAAAATTGCAGTATCTCTGATTTGGTGGTGTATTTATTTTTATCTATTCAGTGTATGGGCATCTGGTTAATTATTTTTTTTTTTAAATGAATCTTATGTACTTTTACTAATTTCTGAGTGTTATCACTTTTCTGGATGCACCAGTTGTATCCATTTGCATGTTCTTTCAATATGAAGACCATGGGGAAGTAGGGCTTCAGGAAAGATTTCTGGAAACGGGGAATGAGAATAATTGTAAGTCAATAAATATAGATAATGCATCATTAACGTTTTTGGTATGGTATGGATTTTATAGCACCTATGTATGTTTGCAGTTATTAAGTTATTGCATAAATGTTTAAGAATGAGCATTTTTCATCCAAAATTTTGTATGTTTGCAAATATATTTTTGTAATAAAACTCTAAAACAAATGTTTCAGCACCTCCTAAATCTTCCAATGTTTCCTCTTCTTTCTAGAAGAAAGAAAGAAGCCTGCTAGAAGTGTAAGTCCAGATTTTATTTAGGTTTAATATTTTCAGGAGAAGAAACTCCAACTCCATGCCAGGGGCAAAACCAAATTGCATTTATTCACTAAAGAAAATGCAGCATGCTATTCTCAACTGTCCTTCAAGCAGGCATCTGTCACTTGTAACAGCTTCTGGCCATCCTCTGGATTGCTGCAAGTAGGTTTGCATTTTGAATTTGATAAATAGACCTATTTTCTTTAATGTTAAGAAATGCAGCTTCAAGTTCACTCTCTAAGTACAGCTGTAACTGGTTTTCATGCCTTTCCTTGTCACTTTTTTTTTTATGGTATCCCCTCATCCATCTAGACATGGCATATGATAATCCATTGTTGGTCTTTGATCATAGACTTCAGAAATTGCACTTGGCCTCTTACAATATCTGATTGGTATCATGCAACTGATCAATCCAAACTTCACAAAGTAAAATAGGGAAGCTGATGAGGAGGAAAACTAAAGCAGAAATTCTGTTGGAATAGATCTTGAAATTAAACAAAACCTTATGCCAAAGTCCCTCAGTCTTAGCTAGATGCTTATTCCCATTCTAACTACCCGTAAGAGCTGGAGATTGCGAGGCATACCGAATGTCGGGGGAGGCCACTGGAGAATGGTGTTTTCTGCTCTAGTGGTTAATATTGAACTGGCTCCTCTACTATATACAGGAGATTCTTCTAATAGAAGACTACAATACAGACAAGTACAGGAGTCATGGATTTACTGTTAGGTAATTGAGAAAAAGTGGAAACACTAAGGCCTAGAATCTAATTTTAAATCCCATGTTGTGTTGCCTATTTGGTCAATACTGAGGAAGTATTTTTTTCATTGTTGATGCTGTTAACCTTTTTGTCTTCTCTGGATCCAGGTATTCCTGGTTACTGTTATTTCTATTAAGTGCTCCCCTTTGGTTTGGAAATAAGAGAATACTTCTGACTTGCTGTGTG